AACAGTCAACAAACAGTTCAACGGGCGTAAATACAGTCGTTCAGCAAGAAGTCAGCAGGTCGCGCCGGAAAATTGTGTATTCGTAACATTAAAACAAACGTCATGATACAATGTGAACGACAGTTACAAAGTGTGGTTCAAGTTCAGGAAGAATGGTAAATGTGACAACGGATTACAGACACTACAGGTCTCTGACGCTGGGAACTTGACAGACGGCTACTCAGTGACCACTGGTATCCAATGTGTCGCGTATAATTTTACGCCGACGTTGTGATGGGACAACGGATTACAGACACTACAAGTCTCTGACGCTGGGAACTTGACAGACGGCTACTCAGTGACCACTGGTATCCAATGTGTCGCGTATAATTTTACGCCGACTGTTGTGATGGCCAACTTTACTTGCTGTGCGGCTCCGCAGGCTTTTCCCAAATTTGAGTCTACAGATGAATAATTCATTTTTGGTTCTTAGCCCCGGCCCGTCCAGACTACACATCATATGCTTCCTTGCCGTCCCGCAAAGAAAGCGTCTTATGATGTTGAAATAGACCGGAGAAGAGAATCTAATCTCAATGTCTAGGAAGTCTGTGTGTCCTAGTATTTATAGGTCAAAAGAGGGGCTAATCGAAAGCCTTGAGCAAATGTCTCACTTCTGCGGCTAATGCCGTAGATCGCCGGTTAGAGCAAAGAGACGAAGATGATTGCGTGTGACCCATCTGCTCCAGACAGTTCGGTTCCAATGAGACCCCCTGCGTTTCATGTAAGCCTTGTAATCCTTGAGGGCTTTAGTCAATAAAGACGTGAATCAGCTATTGGAGATGGAATTTTGTTAAGGGGCCTACACGATATTGTAGTCGCTGTAATACCCCGTTATATGGTGAGTATTGCTCTCAGATCACCAGCCGCTTGCCTCGTGATGGCATTTCAATAACCTAACCTATATGTCCCTCTCATTTCAGGACGTCAACAGCTGATTGAACTTTTCGCGCGAAAAACGCCGTGTGCGTTCTAGCAGGAGATATGTACCCACCAGAACGACCAATACAATTAAGTTTTTTGTGTCATTTAATTCGGACTATTCCTCCAGTTGAGATGGATGAGTGTGCTCCAGCCAGCTGATTAGGCGTCGTGGAACCCCAGCTGCGTGTTAGTCATGTGTGCCGAATATGTTCGTTAAGCTGTGCGCTATGAACATCTTAGGTTCCACGCGGCTAGTTGATTAGACATTGTGGACCCCTAGCCACATGTTAGCCGTGTGCGTCAGTTTGGTCCGTCCAGCTGTCCGCTATGATCGACGTCATGTTTGTCCTGGCAAAATTCGCAAGTGATAATGAAACAATCTCCGGTTTAACAACGAAACTGCACGACTAACCCGGTAACACCATACGTGGCTTCAGTGATTTGAACTCATTATAGCAATTACTGGGGTATCTGAACACCTCTCAGAAATCGGGCTATCGTGCAGATATAAATGGAGAAAAGTATTTGCAGATGTGAAACGTCCCCATATTTCAGATCCACAGAGGCCATTCTGGAAAGTCCGACAAAGTATTGCAGCTGTAGAACTATCTGCAGGTTTCTTCCATTGTAAGTGAATCACCAGTTCCCGTGATTCACATTCCGGGATATCTTATCGCAGGCAAAGACTTCATTGTGTGTGGTGTTTAATGACTTTGAAGATTAGATCAATTAAACAAACCACACTTGCAGACAATTTTCAGAGTAATTTATTATACATAGACATTTTACACTGTGAACCGGCATCCGTGAAAATGTCGTAGCTTTTGGGGAAAAATCAATTTTGTGAATACTGAAAGACCTGATTTGCAGACTCAGCAGGCTGTTATTTGACGAAGATGCCACGCGTAGATCCACCAACGGCAATCCCAATGTGTTGGTCAATTTGATTTTTTTCGTTGAGCGACGCCAATATTACTGATGGCTGCAGATTTCTGAAGGGTTTGGAGAATACATTTTTAAGCTTCCATTGCAACCAAGCCTTTCTCTCCTCTCGAATTCCACCGCATTCAAGTTGTGCCAGGTTTGGCGTGACTGCATCTAAGTCGGATAGTATCTACCATCCGTATCTGCCTCGATTCTGCGCCACATCATGTGTCCACAACCCCCATCAGTCACGCTTTATTCGGAGTGTGCCAATAGGGTGATGCTCAATGTTGTGCTACCCACAAGAAAGGAAAAATTATTTTTTTATTGTCACGCTGGAGGCATGGTTAGATGATTTTTAAGCTAAGAGCACACACCCACATTGGGAACAATTCTTCTCATTTCATGTGCGTGGAATAACTTTTCTATGATGGCCGTTCACTCAGCATCCAATTGAAAGCACACCTAAAGGCTTTTCTCCGTAGGCCATCCCGCTGGTAAACGTAATGCCCTCACCGAAAACCTGAAGAGAAGTAACCCTTCTTTATTTCCCTTGTACTATTCAAGTGAACGAAAGCCAATGAACAACAAAAGTAAACCCGACCACGGAAGGTTGGGCGAAAGCCTCGATCTCGCGTGACAATCCATGAATCTGCGGAGCACTGAACGATCGGTTCAGCTTAAGCGAGACGGTTCAAGGTATTCGCGTAATACGGTCCGAAGTAGCAAATGCTGTGGCACCCAGGGTCGTTACTTCACACTGGATGATCCCAACCGATATCCAGACTTTCCGTCAAATAGGCTTAAATCGATGGCAGGTGAACACATTTTGTTCGGTTCAGTAGCAGTTTGTCACGGAAGATCCGGCAGTAATTGGCTTCAGTTTGGACAGCTTCACTTTACCACAGAATAATCGTTGCTGTGCAAAGGACCAATATAGAATAAAGCCGCATCCAAAATGCCACAAACGCAAACGCATCTGGGCCTATTTTTAACAGAGTAAGACGAGCCGAAACAAAATGGGGACCAAGATCAAGGAGAAGAAACACATGAACAAAAGATTTCTGGTAACTGGATAACCGGATATCTACATTTCACAAACCCTTAATAAAACCATATAAGTTATTTTTACAGTACAAGTTAAGAAATAATCGTGTCGCCATCGTATATTTTTTTATTAATACCAGAGAACTATTCCCTACGTCGAAAACATTCAAAGTGACAGCATAAATGTTATGAGAGCGTAAAATGGTGATCACCTGCAAACCGGAAAACGCAATACAGAGCACCTTATGAGAAGTGGACACAGAGACAAAAGCAAACATGGTATACACAATTTATTTCAAAGTTTGTTATAAAAGCTTTGGGAAAGATATGAAAAAGCTTTCTGTCCATCCGCACAAATAGCTTTTACCTGGCTTTTTCTACGAAGATCGGAGTGGACATGGATTTGATTGGAAAGACGTCAACATACCAACCCAATTATGAATGGAGTAAGGAGGAAAATGCATCAAAGCCTGGTCCTCGGCTAATTCAACAACAATTTCACAAGTTCACAACAGGTTCACAGCAAGTTCACAACCTCTGTCGGATACCAAAAACGAGGAAACTCCATCTGTATAACACTGGAAACTTTATGAGAAACCACGGGAAATATGTACAAAAGTGACGGACGAGTTTAAATCCGAAAGAATAATTACGTTTGTATAAATACAATTTCAAAAAAGGGATCAGAAGTAAAGGTTGGAAAATAATGGAAACTCTCCAACACCGAAGAGAATTTGCTGTTTCTGATTTAGTCAACGATCTTCTGGATGTTCCTGCAAGTGCGTGTCTACTTTTTGCGGACGACGTGAAATCTTGTAGTTCAATGCCAGTGCCCTCCATCTGGATGTAGACGCCGCAAAGCCGTAGTCGTTGTACTGACAGCTTCCTCTCAATGACGAAAAGTGCGCCCATATGTAATTTGGAGGAGACTCAGCGAATGCCTCTGTCATGCATGGTGAGAAAGGACCAGAAAACATCATGGGGATAGACGACAAAAATGGATTTGGGTATCTGGGTCTCCTCAAACTTGTCGTCCCCAATGAACCATGAGAAGTCGGCCCAAATGGCATTCCCCATTTTACGGATGCCCCGGTGCATCTTCTCCCGTATTACTCGCATGGACTTCCAGACACTCGATGGGGCCTACGTCAGACCGCTCATTGAATACGCCAACCCATCTGTCTACTCAGGAGGCACAAAAGACGTTACCCCCATTGAGCATGTCCAGCGAGTCGCCACGAAAATGGTTGCCGGCCTGAAACTCGTGGACTACGATACCCGTCTCACGATGATTGACGTCTTTCTCTTGGAGTATCTGCGCCTCCGAGGGGACCTAATTCTTACTTATGCCCCGTTTGAGCAAAGCTTGGCTAACAGGGTTTTCACCGTTGGCCCATTGAACACACTCTGGGGACACGGTAAGAAAATTATCAAGCTCAGAGCGCACGCATTCATGAGGCAAAATGTTTTCTCATTTCGGGTAATAGCTTCGTAAAATGACCTTTCCCCGACAGTTGTCCACGCTCTTTTTTGAACCCAGTTCAAAGCACCATTAGACATTTATTTATATGAGTCACTGCGCTTGCATGCACCCTGCTCCGCGCTGCAAACATAAAGAGCAGTGCCACATCCTTTTTCTACTTGTGCGTTTCTGGTGAGCGACAGCCGCTGAACGACAAGAACAGAGCCGACCCGGGAAACTTGGGCAGAAGCCTCGATCTTATGTATTAATCCGTGAATCCGGGATTCCGCGAAACTGTAGAAAACAAATACGCCAAAATAACCCCGAGAAACCAGATTCCGAGGCTATGGAGGTTCATGGCTGACCATTTGACTTGAGGAGGACATGACTACCAAAAATGGAATCTGTTGTGAGGCCCTCAAATAAAGGAAGCAAGACAAACTGTAGCCAGGCCAATCATAAGACGAACGGAGACTCTCAGCACGCCAATTGAATGAGAGTAATACAGCCTACGAAGCGGTGGAATTCGAAACGAATCAATGGGATTCGTAGATGGCGTGTTAAGACGAACGGAGACTCTCAGCACGCCAATTGAATGAGAGTAATACAGCCTACGAAGCGGTGGAATTCGAAACGAATCAATGGGATTCGTAGAATGGCGTGTTTCAATTTACAACTGATTGCAATATGTACCGGGCAGTTTTGAAGAATATAGTAACTGAAGGGGGGTTAGGGATTGACCCAACCCACCGCGATCTGGTGATGCCATCTCCATTGGCGATGGACCGTCTGCAACTTACTTGCCGAGCTCATCGAAGTGATCACTGGTTCGTTGGTCAATCATCACTGCTTACCATTTTGGGATGTGAGTGAGTTTGAAAAACACGCGGGTAGCTCAGATACTCAGGTTCTGGATATAAGCTGTTGAGGTGAGGTTTAGTGGGCCCAGACAACGCGTAGGAGAACAAACGTGTGCGGACGAATACTGAGATTATGACAAGTGGACCATATGCGCCTGTTAACAAAATCCGAGAGCTTTGTCAATTCCAAAAAGAGCTGAGCGAAGAACTAAATTGACCTAAATAGAATCAGGCGCTACAGTTGCAAGAAAACGGTGCATCGTATTCTACTTGATACGACTGAATTTGGCGAAGCCGCGAAAGTACCGCAGTGTCATGCTCCCATCCTCCAGGCGAGAGTGTGGACGAGCGTGTTAGGGGGACACGTAACTCACCACAATACGAAGCCACTTTTGATTTGTTCCGATTTTTCCGGACTACTTGATTCAGTGAAGTTTTATAAGACAATCCGGACATCCTTTTTGGAACTGTGAACTGTGTGAACTGTGACATAGTGCCCAGTTATTGTATCTCTCGAGGTGGATAATCATGACCCAGTGAAGGTAGATGCCGAAGGTGGTGAACCAACCACCTGCTATAGAATAATTTGCAGGCAAACGTAATATCATTCTCATCAGGATGTTAAATGCGCCCAATATGCATAGCTGAAGCGAATGACTAATGAGAGGTGGATTTAAGAATAATGGGGATCTTCTCCTGGGATTCTGAGTGGGTACCGTTTGATAATATCGGTGACACAGTGTTCTGTCTAGTGATATCTGATAGAGTTTGTAGAGGTAATAGATGTGGTGACCGCCATCCTCCAACTCACACAAGGGGCTACTAACATCTAGTTCAAACACGCGCAGAGCATTATCTTCAGAAAACAGAAGTTGTAGTAAAGAAACCGATTTGGAGCATAGGATACAGACTATTAGCTAGGCTCACCTTCTTTTCATATTATGGATGTCAGTTGTTGGAGTTCCTTTGGCGGTACAGACTCTGGTGGAATCCGGCTGTGCATTGGGAATCGCCTAATATTGTGCATTGTTTAAAACGTTTGCATGATACGCTCACACATTGTATCAGCTGTTTCTTCCACTTATTTCACTGAGGAACAGGGGCAACAACAAAGTTGATTGCCGGCGCATACGGTCGGAAACTATTCGCGAAAAATCACGCTAACTTTCACGAAATTCATTTTAGCGAAAGGCTACTACTCACGCAAGTGATTTTCATGCATTTACACTCACCGTACACAGTTGTCCTTTCGATTAAACCTTTATTCTCATTTATTCACTCTATTTTCCCACTTACATTACTTGTTGCTGGTCCTAGAGAGAAGATTCCTACCGCAAATATTTTCCTAACATTGGGTCCAGAACAGTCTAGAACCACCAGACACCTCTACTACTGGTGATGGCTCAGTTAAATTATCATCTCTACGGACTACATGAGCTCTTCGTAAACGTCCTTTTAGTGCGTTCCGCTCAGCTGAAAATAACCTGTACGAATGCTGTAGCGGGGTACGACGAAGTCCTAGCCGTTAGCTGATTAATCCGAGCAACTACAGTGGATAATGCTACACTGTGGAGAAAGATCTAAGACACGCACCTGCGTAATTATGTCAAGTTAATGATGATGTCATGATTGAAGTTAATGCAACAGTTGTGCCGACCGATAGAAGATGGGTGTGCGCGGTCTGAGACCGAGTGAACTACGTAAAAGACTGCGCCTTGAACAAATATAAGAGAGCATTCAATCAAACGCCTTTGCGTTTGTTTGCGCTTGTCATTTTTGCAGACCTTCATAAATACCAACTTTCAGCAAAACCAAGTGGTCATCTTTCATGATCAGTTCATCGTCATTGGTTCCAATGACCGTCCCGATTCATTCCAGAAGTCCTACGTTTGAATGCGGAATTCCCGCTGCTGTGTTGTTTGTGAAATGGTAACATATCTGGATAAATCGCATGTGTTAGGTAGGAATCCACGCTTATCCCACTTTACCGCACGTCTTCAGGCGCTGCTACGGCCGAGAAGCCTGATCCCCTCGAGGTTGGCCCAAAATTCGGGACGCTTGCCGGTCCGGCATCAAGACGAGCTCCGATTGGTCAACAATCTAGACCCAACAGCCAATCATGACCCAGTATTGGCCAGATGCCGGTTGCCAATGGCGCTTCAGAACGCGTCAGAACTTCCAGAAAGTTATAGCCGCTTACGCTATATATACGAAGCGCTGTACAACTGTTGCCGATTTTGTTTTGGGCGTTAATAGACCTTGTGCACCTTTGGTGGTTGTTTTGACGTGAACGCTAGCTTGGGAGGCTCAGACCGAGAACTAAAGGAAGGAAAATATAGTTACTACAATTGGCGAAAGGGAACCTACGATGTCAATCGGATTTGAACAGCTCCAAGAACTATTGCTGCAGCAACAAAAACAGTTTGAAGAAGCACAACTGAAGCTCATTGAATCACTGACTCAGAAACTGCATATCCAAACAGCAGCAGTCAGTACTGGTGAGTCTTCTGTTTCCTCAACTGATGCAGCCGCGGCCTCAAGTACGGAGTTCATATTTGAACCTCTTTCTGGTCACACTTTTGACTCCTGGTTCAAGCGGTACGAAGACATGTTCAAAACTGATTTTTCCAAATTTG